GGGAGAGGGAGAAGCAGGCCTCCCGCTGAGCAGGGAGCCCGATGCGGGGCTCGATCCCAGGACCTGGGATCATGACCTGAGCTGAAGGCAGACGCTTAACGACTGAGCCACCCAGGCGCCCCTCAAATCCTTAGTTCTGTCATTTCCTATCTGTAGGACTTGGGGAAGTTACTTCACCTCATGGAGCCTCATCCGCTCTCCAGAAAACAGGAGAATATTGCACTAACTTCAGTGGTTGGGATTAAGAGAAACATCTTAGGTCAGTGTCTCTTCTCCTGCTTCAGTCAAGAAGGTATTGAAGAGGTTTGCCAGTTGGAGCAGGGCTAGGATTTTGACAGATCAGTTATCTAACTTCTCAAGAAGTTGCTTTGTTTACAATGTTTTGAGAAAGATGCAACACAGACATGGTACCTGGGGGAAAGAGGAAGGAAAGATACTCTGGTGACACAGATCCTTCAAGGATTATGTTCTTTGTGCCAACAAAAAGAATTTCTCGGTGTCTGTTAATGGAGGGACAATTAATTAAACTGTGACTATTCTATTGGGGAAGTACTGATATGTTAAAAGGATAGGGGCAGACATGAAATTATGTTTACAGTATGACTACAACTATAATAACAAAAAGAAATCCTATCCTTAGGGGAGAAATGAAAAAATACTCCCAGTGTTGTTGAGGGATTTGGTTTAGGTAGTACAAACAGGCTTGCTTTTTTTTTCCCCCTAAATTCTCTTTACTGAGCTAGTATTGTAGAAGGGAGAACAACAACAAAAAAACACAGACCTTCCTGAGATGGGAAACGATTATCATGGTCACCTAGAAACTCAGAGCCCATTCCTGTTATCATTCTAGGCTCTGATGAATACGACAGCCTCAGCGAAGAGGAAAGAGGCAACGGCCCACCACAGATGTGGAGCAAATACCCTTTGGATGTGCAGAAGGAGTTTGGCTATGACAGCCCCCATGACCTGGATTCAGACTGATGATCCTGTGGTATCTATGAAGTTCAGTCATGTGCCCTGAGGGCTCTGACTGCAGCCTCAGCCATCCTGGTAACATCCCTGGGTTCTCTAGCTTAACACGAAAGGAAAAAGCATGTCCAGCAGCACCATCCTACCAGTGAAAACGTGTGCTAAAGGACTGTGTCTTTTTCAGTAACAGTAGGGCCCCTTTGCCTCAATCAAAAGTGACTCTATAGTCTGGGGGAAAAAAATGCCATAAAAGTGAAGCTTCCTGGCCTGGGGATTTTCCCATTCTCCTGTGGTAAAGCCAGTAAGTGGAAGAGAAACTTCTGTTTCCTTAGCACTAAGCTTTAGCTTTCCCATACCACCAGGCCACTGCCTCCACTAAAAGCCTGTTTCTTTTGATAGACGGAATCTAGAAGGGCTACATTGGGTCCCTTATAGCAACACCGACGGGATAGTGGTGGCTATTAGAGAGGGAAGTAGAATCTGCCTGAGCTCTGAGAGGTTTTAAGTTAATAGCTGTCTCCACCGCCCTGCTTCCTGACTCTGATAATGGTTGTAAAGACTGCTGTCTTCCTTTGTTCCAGGGAGAACAGGACATATGAATGTGATACTCTGTGTTTAGTAAAAATTAAAGGGAGCAAGAAAATTCCTTGAAAACCTTTTTTTTTTTTTAAGATTTATTGAGAGAACACGAGCAGGAGGAAGGGGCAGAGGGAGAGGGAGAGAACGATCCTCAAGCAGACTCTGCATGGAGCAAAGCCCAATGGGGGGAGGGGGAATTCCAGGACCCCAAAACCAGACCTGAGCCGAAATCAAGAGTCGGCCACCTAACTGACTGAGCCACCCAGATGCCCCTACTTAAAAACCTTTTAAATCTGAGTATCTTTTTTTTTAAAATTTATTAGGAGAAGCAGGCTCCCCACTGACCAGGGAGCCTGACACAGGGCTCAATCCCAGGACCCTGGGATCGTGACCTGAGCCGAAAGCAGACGCTTAACTGACTGAGCCACCCAGGTGCCCAGATTGCAATGTCTTTTTTTTTTTTT